GCTACTAGGAACAAGAAGCTACTAGGGGCTCCTGGCCTTACTACTAGGAGCATTCTTCTTACCCATCCCGGACATCCTACTGCTCCGACAGTGTCTGGTATATCCTGTCAGACTTTCGACGGGTTCAACTTGGCCCAACCATGGTGGTTTGCCTCCTTCCTACGTATTAGGTGGAGGCCATGGCTAGTAGGTTGGAGGCCATCGCTAGTAGGTTGGAGGCCATTCGTACTAGGTTGAACTCTGAGATACCTTCGTAGGCATTTCTGTCCTTGGTCGTGCCTGCCGTGCGCACCAACTCTTTGGAATTTGGGCCAGCTAAGTGGCAAACGACCACAAACAGTCAATATTGCCAGGGGCCCAACGGTCAAACGCGATGCAATACGGGCGAGAGAAGCATCGGGAGGTCAGCCACACCGGATGAATCTTGATGAACCTAAAACCAGCTGTGCTCAGCTCTGCTCCGTGTATACATGTAGTACGATTGCGTTAAGTTATATATCACGAAAGCCAGATAGGCTGGGCTTGAGGTAGCTGAGCGAACAAAGTGAGTAAAGGGGGTGTGGGGGGGACGTTGCGTGGTGGCTACTTTTCGGAGAGATGAGCCTAGAGCCTGGTGGGGGAGGGCGACAAAAAGAAACAGGCCACTTGGTAGTGAAGAATGAGTGGTTTGAGGGGTGTTGTGATGCCGGTGATGTAATTGACGGCCCATCCCTGCCCCTTTGCAATCCAGGGCTCAGGAGGCAATGTAAACCGTTTTCTACCAGGAGTGGGAGTTCATGTCAATGATAGGAAAGAGGGGACAACGGGACGAGAAAGGTGCTCCTCCAGAAAAGGGAGATGTGCGCCTCTCTTCGACCAGGGGTGAAAGGGAGGTGTGCGTCTCTCAAGACACTGTGTGATCTGTGAGGAACCAGAATGCTGTGGGGAAGGTGGAAGACAGGCATAGTGTAGGAGGTGGTAGGAAAAGAGGGCTTGCAAGAAATGTTAGAGTTGCTTTGGGGGGCCCTTTTTTTAATGGCGAAGATGCCTGTCAACTATACGCAAAAGGGCACCCCATATGGGGTGCGAGTTCATGTAATGCTGTGGTCCGTTGAGGGCAGGAAAGAGAACAAAATGCAGCGGGCAAGCTTTGAATTGCTTGGGGGTGGCCTTTTTTAACGGTGAAGAGGCCTAGTCGCCGGACTCAAAAGGGCACCCCATATGGGGTGGGAGTTCGTGTGGACGAGGCAAGCATAGCGGAGGAGGACGTGATAGGAAAAGAGGGATTGCAAGAAACGATGTGATTCATTGAGAGGAACAGAATGCAGCGGGCAAGCTTCGAGTTGCTTGGGGGCGCCCGTTTTTAATGGTGAAGAGGCCGGTTGACCCGACGCAAAAGGGCACCCCATATGGAGTGGGAGTTCATGTACTAAATGGGCATAGCGGGGGAGGAGGTGATAAGAAAGGAGGTGTGGAGCTCACCAGGGCTCTCGCATTCACCCCCCATAACCATTTGATATCTTTTACGGTGGCTGGCTTTCGTCCCCTCCCTTCTCAAATATTATATATTTAATCAAAAAATATCACATAGATAAAGCCCAGAAATGGTTGGTTGATGTTGGTTGCACGTTTTGATAGACGGTCTTCATGCAAGGCGGCCTGGTGCAAAGAAGTCGCTTTGCTGCGATTCCGAACACAAAAAGAACGCAGGGACTCGCGACTTTTGACATTTCTGAACTACTAAGTTACTAAGCAGAAGAGGCCTTCGCCTCAATGATTTGGTTCCTAGTAGCTCCTTGTTACCAGTAGAAGGCCAGAAGCGCCCCTAGTAGCTTCTTGCTCCTAGTAGCGATGCCCTTTGCTCCTAGTAGCGAACATTGCTCCTAGTAGTAAGGCCAGGAGCCCCTAGTAGCGTCCTTGCTCCTACTGCCGAGGAAACCTGCCCCGAAAATTTGGTGCCACTTCTACCTTGAGCCACAGATGCTTCGTACCGGCTTCGACGTGAATAAGAAAATCATTGGACATGGGGGCACCAACACCAAGCGCATTTTCGAGAAGACAGGACCGATGGTAGTCAGTCTCAGGGTGCAAGGAGAGGACGGGAATGGCAAGCGAGAGAGTCTCTCGAGATACATGACGGTGGAATTGGCCGAACTCTTACGTTGGAGGCCATCGCTAGTAAGTTGGAGAGGCCATCGCACTTGGGTTGTGGAACCCATTGCTCTTAGGTCTTGTTCGACTTGGAACCCTGAAATCGCAGGCGCGAAGATCCGATTGCGCGGGCGTGGCAGTGGACACAATGAGGGAGATCGCGGGGAGGCACCAGTGCCATTGATGCTGGCAGTCTGCGCCCTAGGATTCAACTCAGATGATTCGGCGGGAGGTTGAGCCAGATTAACTAAAAGAGAAATCGACATTTATATAGTAATACTATCACCATAGCGCAGATTGGAATAGAATATTTCGTGTTCAAACATGTTGCCAGCGTTCTTTTTCGGTACAACCTGGAAGAGCACTAAAGTCAGAATTTGGACAACTCAAAGGTCCATGTGGCATGGGGTATAGGTATAGGGTGTCCATTCTAATAACGATGGCCTCCAACCTACTAGCCTTCTTGCTCCGTTCGTAGCGATGCCAGGAGCCCCTAATAGCTTCTTGTTCCTAATAGCGATGGCCGTTGAACACATCTTGGCCCTTAGGTCACGTCAGACACCAAAAATGTTGAGAACTTCGTGAAAGCGGTGGAACTCTCTGTGCAGCTGCTGCAGACAGTGACGAGCAAGTTTCCGGAATTCTGTAGATCTCATGGCCGCTTGGAAAGCACTTTGAGCAAGGCTTTATCAAGAACCTTCTGGTGATCCTCTCAGTAACTCAATGGGAAGGGTGTTGTGCAAGAATTTGCGCCTAGGATGTCCCAGGGGTTTATCGTTTGAGTTCAGAAATCATGTGCACCGTGCACAGCGCGGGAAATGAGAACAAGCACATCCTTGCCACATTAAAGTTCCAAAAGGCAGAGCCCAAGCTGCCAACAAGCCAAGCAGAACAGAAACTGCAGGTGCTCAGTCACATGGGCCCAGACCCAAGTTGCCACCAAGATCACCAAGCGATCAAAGCATGTAAATGACAAAACACAGCAGAGAACTGAAACACTTACAACAGTATCAAAAGTCCATGGTTTGGAGGATCCTCGCTGTGGTTTGCAGCCACACTTTGCTTGTAACTACAATCACCTCGACAGCCCCCAACTTTTGCTTGACGGCACAGGTGGCCAACAGAGAAGACATGCAAGAATGCATCAGTTGAGCACCTTGCGCTCTGTTTGAAAGAAATGACAAGTCCAAGCGAGGACCATCGGGAAACTGCATGTGGCTTCCAAGAGACTGCAATCAACGAGCAAAACAAGCAGCCTGAACCTTTGGATTCGCCACAAAGTTCACTACAGGGTGATTGTCAGCTGTGGCACATGCTGTGGCTAAGGCAAGGTTTGGCTTTTTAAACCGCACATCCTTCGCCAGGGACTGCGCTTGTTCCTCAGCCTCTGTTTTGGATTGGAGAGCTTTCTCAAGATGCGGTCGCACGCCTGCAACCCGTCTCAGAATCTCGGCGCAACATCAGCCCGTCCCTTTTTGTTGACCTAGTAACAAGAAGCTACTAGTAACAAGTGCATCGCTACTAGTAACAAGTGCATCGCTAGTAGTAGCATTCTTACTACTAGTAACAAGAAGCTCTTGACCTTGAATCCTTTCAAATCCTTTCAAAGCTCAGCTTTTGTTACTTCCTTGGGTTCTTGCCCTCTAGTTGTGAGTGTGGCTAAGTGAATCCCAATTGAAGGTTCTTGAACGGATGAAGTTAAAAGACACTGTCATCTCTGGCGGTGGTGCTTTTTCCATCTGTGATGTGATGTGATGTTCGGTGAAGTAGAAGAACAATGTGAGGTCGATCTGTGTTGAGTAGTAAGGCACCTGTTACTAGTAGCGATGCACTTGTTGCTAATAGCTTCTTGTTACTACTAGTAAGGCACTTGTTACTACTAGCGTGGCACTTGTTACTAGTGACTTGTGACAAAATGGGACGTGATGAAGTGAGTAGACGATGCGATGTGGGAAGTGTGTTGAAGTGGTAGTGTCCATGATGTGATTTGTCATGTGGCCAAGCATTATATGCTGATTTATGCAGGTCTGTGTGACATGATGTGTGCAGGTGAGCTAAATTGAGGCGAAGTGCAAGGTGGTGATGCTATGATGAAGCTGTGACTCTATTTTTGGACGTACGGGGTGGCTATGCTCCACAATCCAGTTGTACCTTGCTACCATTTGCGATACCTGCAGACTGTTCAGGTTTGAGACCGTTGAAGTTGACTTGTCTTGATCTGCTCGAAGCGGCGCGAAGCGGAAGCCAGGAGTCCCAGGTGATCATCGGCGAGACAGAGGTCATCATGTCCCTGGAGGGCCGAAGTGTCACGCCGGGGTTGAGATGGTGACGCAAGCGCAAGGAGGCTACTAGGGGAACAAGGACGCTCTTAGGTGGCCTCTTAGGTGGAGGCCATCGCAAGGAGGCCATCGTGTGTGACACAGTGTGAGGTGCGGAGTCGGTGAAGCCTCCTGAAGGGAGACGCTGTGGAGGTGTGTGAGATTTGGTATCTCCATTTTTTCCGAAGAAGTCCATCACTGGCAACATTTTATGCAACTATGAGGGAATCTGATGGGCACGACGAGCTATTGGAATGCCAGAGAACGGGGTCAGCATGTCTCCTTGTGATTTTAGCTATTTTTAGCTGATTGCCACAATATCCATCATAAAACCAATTTCACACTGACCCACTGGCAAGGACCGAGTGTTTTTTGTTTGTTTACCAGCGACACCACTTTCTTAACCACAGTCTCGTTGGTCGATTGCATTGCCTCCCGGTTCCGAAAGTTTGATTGGCCTTCTTGGAGAAGTGACGAATCTCTCCAGTGATAGACGTATCTTCAGTAATGGGTGTACCATGATTGATGCCCTTCTGTTGAATTTTGGACAACATTTATGTCACCTCATTTATGCGTTCTCAAACAAAACGGTTCGTATTTGTTCCAATGTTGTTTGCCCGGGCATTTCGTCAACAGACGTGCAAATTTGTACCAGGGTCGCTCGACAATGGTCGAATGTGGATCCTCTTTTTGTGATGGGATGCCAAAAGGTCATCTCCATGCCATCGAATTTGATCTTTCCAATATATCCTGACCTTTGGATGCTATTGGGTGGAGGCTATCGCAAGTAGGTTGGAAACCATCGCTACTAGTAACAAGAAGCTACTAGTAGGTCTTTGAAGCTTTCTAGTAACTAGAAGCTTCCGGACTTCAAGTGCCAGTCTGAAGGTAACCTGTTTGACCCTAAACCGAAAGCAACTTTTTGGGCGAGCATTCTGACGTGCAGAAAGTCAGGGTCTTTCACAACACAACCATTTCCATCCTCACTGCATGCCGAAGCGATGAACAGGGCCTTCTTGGCCGCATTGCCTCACGCAATGCAGTCTTTCAAGGGTCTTAACGGAAGACTCCACATGACCAGTCAGACAAGAGACTGTAGTCTAGACACAGAGAGCATTCAAAATTAAGTAAGTTTCTTCAAGGATTTACTGTCGAGTGTACTACGTTGAATTCTTCTCCGGATGGAATGTCGAGCTCTTGTAGGGTTTAGCTCTGCAACGCCGGCTTCAAACCATACAGTTCCAAGCAAATCGACGCAATAGCGACACAGAAAAGATTGCTGACTTACTTCGGCCCACAGGCGTCTTCTCATGGCTTCGGAAATTACATTCAGCTTGCATGATTTGCGACCGCGTAGATTGACCGGTTGCCTTGAGAACGACAGGTGAGAAAAAGCTGCTGGCGCCTACTTACTCAAGTAGGGGGGGAGGCCATCGCTACTAGAATGGAGGCCATTGTTGCTAGGGTGGAGGCCATCGCTAGTAGGGCGGAGGCCGGGAGCATGCCAAAAAGAAGACGTAGCAGCTCCCAACTTGGGCATTCTGGACCAGATTCCGAAAGCTTTCGCGTCAGGAGCACTGCGCAAGGTGTGGTGGAGATTTTGATGAAATCTCTCTCCATCTTTAAGGAGGCACGCTTGCAGGCGTGGGAGATGAATGCAGAGCTAGCTAACTCATTGAGGATGCTCTTTTTACTTGGTGGGCAGTGGGGAGGGTATAGAACATACCTCGACAAATTCGAGCTGCCAACCTGTAGTTTGAGCAAGTCACTTGAATTGCTTCAAAGATGATTGCCATGTCAGTCTTATGATGCTTTTCCATCATCGTCGTCGTCGTCGTCATCATCATCATCATCATCATGATCAGAGTTTTCTTGCGTGCGCAGGGCCAATCTGGAAACTTCTCATTATTTTGTGCAATCATATTCTCAATGCATCGAGAACCCTCGTGCTAAATAGGTGTTCCTGCTCATTTCCACCTTCAAACAGCGACAACCACTGGACTTGATCTTTAAGCGATCAGACCTGTTGTTTGGTGACTTGTGAGGGGTTGGGGTGCTTGTCGTTCACCTGAGGCCTTTCAGTGACTTTGTTCTGTTTGTTCCAAGAGTTGGGATACGTGTCGGAGGTGATTGCTCCAACCCAATAGCGATGGCCTCCAGAAGCGATGTTGCATTCGGAGGAAGTCATTTTGGTGGCCTATCGGGAGTTGGCGGCAAACCGTTGGGCCTCAGATTTCAACAGTTGTCGTGATGTCCAAGACTGATGAGAAACAACGATCTAGCCTCAAGAAAGGTCAAGAAAGGAGAAAAAACAGACAAAAGGTAGACACAGGTCGAACCGTCATAAAGGTCGAAGGTTGAAGGCCAAGACTTGAGCTGCAGCTCTCCTTGCTCAATGAAGAACACCAAGAGAGACGGGTTTTAGACAGAGCGGACAGAGCTTCAAAAGACTTGAAAGACTAGAAGAGATCAACGAACAAACGTGTGCAGAAAAGAAACAACACTGACCAAAGGTCACAAAGCAGCTTTGTTTGCCTGGTAAAAGCCAAGTCCCAACCTGAAAGATCGCCTAGAGGAAGCGGTGTTGTTAGTTGCATTCCAGATCTAAAGCCAGAGAGTCATTCAATCAAAAGCTACAAAACAGAGACAACACAGGAAGAAAGTCAATCTAACTGTTTAAAGAAAGAAGATACAGGAAGAACCAAAGAAACTTATTGTTGAAAGCAACTACTCATCGCATGCTATTTTCATGTTTTGGTTTCACTCCATTGTGAGTGGTTTCAGAGAAGAGGTTGCGAACCTGGTGTCCCATAGCGTTTTGTGTCCAGGAGTGGAGGCGTTCCATGTTTGTTCATTCTTGTTACTACATATTGTTTGTTATTTCTTGGCGTGTGGTGTTTAGCACGATCGACAATCGTATCACAGGTGTTCCTGGAAGCTTCGAGTTGTGCATCCGAACCCATGCTAGGACAGAAAGGAGACAAAGGTTCATGTTGCCTCGTGTATGCATCTCTACATAAATGGCTTAGGGGGCAGCGGCGTGGAGTGTAGTTCGACCTGCTCTTGGTTGTGGCTGCGATGGTCTTGCTGTTGCTTTCATTTGTGGACGCATGCTCATGAGTTGGGCCCAGGGAAAGAAAGAACGAGAGAGAGAGAGAGAGAGAGAGAGAAGGCAATAGCGCTTTTGCTACTGGTCTGCTGGTTTGCTGGTCTGCTGGTCTGGGTCTGCTGATGCTGCTGCTGCTACTGCTGGCTGTTAGGCTGCTGCTGGTCTGGCAGGTGCTGGTTTGCTGGTGCTGCCGGTGTGCTCTCTTTTCCATGCGGAAAAGTTCACAACCATTTTTGTAGGGCTCTGTGCTCTTTGCTCCTAGTAGCGATGCACTTGTTCCTAGTAGTACGGCCAGGAGCCCCTAGTAGCGTCCGATCGCTCCGTTCGTAGCGATGCCCTTTGCTCCAAGGTCGAAGCCGCCATCACATGACAATGCGGGGCACTTGGAAGGAGATCATGGCAGAGGTACAGGCACGTCTGTCCGACGCGTCCACGTCCAAAGAGGGCCAGGGGTTCCCGAAATGGTTTTCCAATATTTTGACAGTGAAGGAAAAACACATGCCATTAGGTTCCTTTTGCTATTAGGTTGGAGGCCATCGCTTTTAGGTTGGAGGCCGTCGCTGGTTAACCCATTTCCTTCATGTCCGTAAAGAAACGTAGCTTCTCTGCTACATGGAACGTGGCGAGGCGAACGTCACCAAACCCAACCCACGTGGAAAAATGTTGTTGTGGGAGTTGGGTGTTGGATTGGGTTGCAATGTTGGTTCATATCTGCTGGGCCTTGGGCTGCATATCTGGTGTTGATGCGCATCCATGCAGACCTGTGAAGCCGCGCGTGCGCAGGCCCAAAGGGATGAACCGACTCTTCAAGCCAGCTCCTGAGGAGAATTGAAGAAGTACACCGTAGTACAGGAAGCTTAGTAAGGCTTAGTAGCGATGGCCTCTACCCTAATAGCAAAACCTAATAGCGATGTGCACAGATGTCGGAAGTCTCGAAGGGCGATCTCAAGTTACGAAGAGTTGCAGTTAGCACCTGTTGTTAGCCCCTTGTGCCTGTGAAGAGAGCAGCCCTTTGGGCGCGGGACGGTTCGGGACGGTACACGGGACGGGGAACGCGATGCACTTAGCTACTAGTAGCTTCTTGTTCCTAGTAGCATATTGTTCCTAGTAGCTTATTGTTCCTAATAGCTTCTTTGTTACTACTAGTAAGGCACTTGTTACTAGAAGCGATGCACTTGTTCCTAATAGCTTCTTTGTTACTACTAGTAAGGCACTTGTTACTAGAAGCGATG